AATGGGCACTCCATTAGCAATAACTACTCTGTGGATTTTGTAACATGACTCATTGTTTAAATCTTTCCAGGAGGGGCCATGTTTGGGAGGGACAAAGCTGAGAGCAAGGGAGAAAGCATCTGCTCTGAAAGTTGGAGAACAATTCTGTTAACTCACACAGCTTATTCCAGCACCTGTGTCAAGCCTTCTGCAGCTGCTGCCAGGTAAATTATGGACTCCCACAAAATTAGGTGTTTTGTTGGGTTTTTTTTGTCCCAAAACCTGTTTCTGATTGAAGAATGCTGGTTTATTTTTCATTCTGGTTTTGCTGTATATTCTATAGGTGTTATTTTAACCCTTTTGGTGCATACAAAATTTTGTAATAAGTTGTGGATAATTTCTTAGGGATTCCAAATCCCTGAGAATTAGTATAGATGCAGAGAGGCTCTTTTACCCCTTAATTAATGGTTAAGCTTGTTGTATACTAGATCTTGATACTGTATCTGCCCACTGGACCACCACCACCGTCTTGCTGGGCCCATTATGTCCTGACATCTGGCGCTGCTCTGAAGTGATCAGGAGCATCAATTTGCTTGGTGCCTTTCTGTGTATGATGCACAGCCTAGCACGGTGGGCAATGCCTCATTTGCACCACTGGAGTTCTGCTGGTAATTTAATTAAAATTGTCACATCCCTCACATGTGCTCTCACTAGTTTGGTCTCTGCTCATCAAACTCTGAATTTATGCTAGTCAAGTTTTATCATCTCCCCAAATAACACAAGTCATGTAGTGACATCTGGCTGCATCTTGGTCACATAATATAGACATCATGAGCTGCTCTTTGATTAGGAGAGCAGTGTGTGCTACAGGCACAGGCTGCCAAAAACAAAAAGTAGTTATGGAAACTGCAGGTACACAACACCTATGTGATGTCCCACACCCACTGCTATTATTCATACTGGAGATTATTGGGAAAGACATTAATGGTTAATGGCTCAAACATCTGGCCATTTGCAGAGGCAGCAGGGTGCTGTGCTGGGCACCCACCAAGGGGAGGAGATGAGTTCTGGGGTATGTGGTAGCGAAACCTCTGATCCAAATTAGACAGAGGGGGAGAGCACCCACTACCAGAGATTCTGGGGTTTGAACCAGATAAGACAGAAGGTCAATAAGAAGCAGGCCCTGCAGAGGGGGAATGTTTCAGATGTTTTTTATCATGCCAATTGTCCTCCCTTACACTTCTGACTTAGATGTAAAACCCCCCACCTTGGAGAAGGTCACATTCCCACGTAGGCCTGAAGGTATTTATCCCTTCTGATGGGGCATAACTGGCTCAGCTACATGAGATGCAACTGTCCTATCTTAGAAGGTGTCATAAACTATCAAAAACCCCCCAAATCCCCCCCAGACTCATTCCCTAGTCCTTCCACTGAAGGACTCCATGCCATCCATGGTGTTGCAGCACAGCCTGAAGGTGCTGCAGAAGACAAGCTAAAACTGAGTGCTGGCAGCAGTAAAACAGGTAAAGCTTGCAGCACTGGTGAGAGCTAAAATGCACACTGGTTCAACAGGAATTTCATGGAGCTGTGGTGTCTTCTCATACTGTTATAGACCAGGCATCTTCACACTACTCCATAAATTAGGCGTCTTGAATATGATCCTAAGGGAATATCCCAGGTATGTCTGGTGCCTCTATCTTACAGCTCATTTAAGCAAACCAGCATCTACATTACAAATTTTCTTGAGGTCTTGCCTTTAGGAATAGCACTGCTCATTTAAGAAGGCAAGAATGGCAGTGTAATGTAGTGCACTGACCAGCACATTGACTTCTAGCAACCTTTACCAGAACATGGCCAGGAACTTCCACGATTTGCTGTGGGAACTTTGAAAAAAACAAACAAGGGTGATAACTTCTCAGAGATTTCACTGCCATTGCCTCTAGTTGTGCAAGTAAGTAAATAAGAGAACTACTGTAGGCTAGAAATTTCCAGGATGATACGTTTTGTGGTGCAATCATTGCCTATTGCATTTGCTGTGTGTTATTTCTGTCTAAGATTCTCACCTTTTCACTGTAATTAAATACCCCAGTTGAGGAAAAAGGAGAAGTTCTGAACTTGTAAGTTGTTTTCAGACACTCAGCAACAGCAGAGTCTCTGTGAACACAACATACTGGCACCTGTCTCCTGCTTTCTCATCTAAGCACAGACCATGAACAAAGTTACTTCTTAAAAGCTGGCTTGGAAAAAAGGAAGCCTGGGCTCTGTATTTTGTCATAATTTTTAATATTTTGTTAGAACAAAAGGAGCATAAGGCTAGGGCCAAAATTGCTTTCAGTTGCAAACATACAGCTTGCAGGTGTGGGCAGAGTTTAGCCTAAAATAACTGGAGGGAAAAGAAGGAAAAAGGCAGCTTAAAAATGTGATGTCAGCAGGAGAAAATAGACTCTGTGGGGCACTGGTTTTCTACAGCCTTGTTCTGTAATCAACACAGCTCATTACTGTAGCTGCGTTGCAACGCTGCAAATGGCATTTGGATGAACACATTTTGTCTTTCCACCACGCTTGCTAGTTAACAAATTGTCTGCCCAAATTGCTGAACCATGAGTATTGTGTCAAAGAAGAGGAAAGCAGCAGATTCCCTTTGTCAGGGTGGACAGGCTGTACCAAACCCTCAGTCACTGATTTCCAACCTTCTTCTGTTTAGACCCCTGGGAATTCTGCTGTGGAGGTACAGGACTTTGTATAGATGCCTTCTGCCCCTGCAGTGATAATCATATTGCTTTCTTTCCCCTCACAGTCTACAGTGTACACCTGAGCCTGAGGTCTGCAGACCACAGTTTGGAAATTGGTTTCCCAAACATAGGTACTGGTTCACTTAATTCTTTTTTAAACAAAAAGTCACTTTCTCGTAGTATCTCAGTTCAGTCCATAAATATTACTAATGTAATTATTGCAACGCATGGGGCAGTCCATCCTGCAATCAGGATCACAGAAGGAAGTGACCATGTATCTGAGATCAGCCAGCAGCATGTGACTCCACAGCACATTGCAAGGCACATCACAAGTTCTGGGTCCCATCCAAATTCACTTTGGAGTCTCATCATGGGATTAAGGTAGTGGGACTTCTGTCTCACTTGAGGAGGAGAAAGAAATGAGAAACAGAATGGGGTTATTAATGATATCCCAAAGATAACAGGAAAAGATGATGGAGACTTTAGGGTTTTGAATATCTTTTATTTAATATATAATTTTTGTGGTTGCCCAGGGGAGCTATGGAGTCTCTGTCATCAGAGATATTCAGAACCTATCCAGACCCAGCCTGCTCTGAGTGACCTGTTAGAGGTTGGACAAGATGGTGTCTGGAGCTCCCTTCCAACTGCAGCCAATCTGTGATTCTATGGTTCTGAAATTTAAATATTTTCTTCCAATTTTCTGAGAGAAGAATGATCTGAAAGAACAGAAGTGAAAGTCAACAAAATCTTTCCCTTTATCAGCCCAATAGCATTAACTTCTATTAACCTTTCTAACCACTGCTAACCTTGTCAATCTGAGCAATCCCAATATGTCAGATGGATTTTATCAGCACAAAGGTAATTCTTCAGGCTACCTCTGAGGTTTTCCTCAGTGTGGAAATATGGGAGGCAAGGAAGAAGCACAGATCCACATTCTGTCCCTATGGGGTCAGGATTTGGCAAAAAAAAACAGGACCTAGGACGTGTGCTAGGATGTTTTATGCAGATACAAGTTATACCTGCATGGGTGAAGAAACTGTGTCATACTCATAGAGAAAAGTATGGGAATAGGTTTAGTATCCATGCTGAAGAGCTGCTCATATTTAAAAGAAAGACAGGACAAGGGTTTAAATGGAACCTTCACATGATGCAGGTTAGCCTGTACAAAACTATGTGTGTGTTTGTCTTGCTTAGAGCTTGCTGGGGAACAGCTGATTCCCTCTTCTCTCATGTTACCTGTCCGTGCTTTCCCAAAATGTTACAGACTACTGCTAGCCCTACTCCTCTCTCCCTCTGCTTTGTGCTGCAAGATTTAATTTTGCATTTCCAAAGGAATGAAACACAGTTATGCCTGACTGCTGAGAATCACAGAGCTAGCTCTGGAGACAGGCTGGACCAGTTCAGAAATGAATCTGCTCAGCATCAGGGCTGGCCCAGGGAGGAGGAGGACCATGTATCCAGGGACAGGAGAGGGGGAAGGACACAGCCTGAAACAGGACCTTTCAGTAGTGGTTAGAACCACTCAAATTGATGTTTAGCTTCACCTCTAGACCCATGCTGTTACCTACCTGGAAGCACTCAGGAATTAGACAAGGCTTTACAAAATTATTTGGAGCTATTCTCAGTAAAGGGCTGAGATTTAGGCAGCACTTATCATGGAAGTGCAAGGCTGCAATTCTGAGATTTGATGCTTTGTTCCCTAACCTGTATGATTCCCATACTTCAGACATCTTCATTTATTTACTTCAGAACTATTCAGTAGCCCCTAGTCATGCTCCTGTGGGGTCTGCTCCCTTCCTGATGGGCTAGGCAGGGATTTCTCACTCGCTATCTCTTGCTAACACACAGTGATTCATGCTGTTAAAACACTGCTAAGTGCCAAGAACTGCCTTAATCCAATTCATGGTCTGAAATTCTTATGATTTCCCAAGTCTGAATTGTATGTGTTAGAGAGGAGATATATAGCAAAAGAAGAAAAGAAAAAAGAAAAAAAAACCCAACAACTAATTAACAAGAGGTTGTCTAAGCTACAACAGCTTTTGCCATCCTGTAGTCTAGTACTGGACTTTTCCAACCAGTAGAGCTGTCCATATATTACTGAGGTTCCACACAGCTCTCCATGTTACCAGATGAATCAGTTTCTATCTGGTAATGAAGTATTACATGTATTAATTTACACAACTTGTAAACATGACTGGCTAAGGCCTATCACATGTGTCCCAGAGGTTTATAGTGCAATTAGTCAGAGGAAAGTGAAGCAAAAAGAACATTTACAGGCAGAAGAGGAAATGGGCAGGACAAGATGCATAAGTGGAAAGGCCTAATATTCCTTCCCCCACCTCAGACAGACCCATATAAATAGTGAGATAGTGAGTTCCCCTGCTCACTGGCCACCACTCATTTGCTGCATCTCTCTGGGACGTGCATCACCCCTGCAGGATGTGGACAAAGGTACTGTCTTCTTTCCTTGCACTGTAAGATGTGATTCTCTATTTAAGATTTCATATCCAAATGTTGCAGTTGGTGACCATCACACCATGGGATATGTGGTTCACCTGCTTTAAACTGCTTCTAACTGCTTCCTTGAGATAATCTTCATGCTCCACTGCAAGTGTGAGTGAGAACTTGTTTGTAATGGTGGGTACAATTCTGGTCACCATTGCTGGAGAAAGAGGAATGCAGTGTGAACAGCATAATGAAAATATACGAGCATGGTAGGGGTGAGTCCATATTGTAGAGGAGAGAGCAGCACAGGCTGGTTTGTTTATCTCAGCAAAGTGAAGGCCAAAAGGCAGTACCAACACTCTGTGTGGATGTGTGCAGAGGAGTAAAGGAAGGGGAATGAAGAGGGGAAATGAAAGGAGATAATTTCCAAAGAGAGAGAAGATGAATATTCACTACTGTCAGTATAAAAAAGAAACTGTGTGTATAGACTGGTTGTAAATAATGTGTACCTCTACAGTGGGACATTTCTAATGGCCCAGGAAGGGAAGTTTTAGATAATTTTCTAATACAGATGCTAGCAGCAGCTCACAGCCAAGAAACAGGTTGAATTTACATAATGGGTCATTGCTCAATAGGAGAGGAAAATAAATATAATATAATTCCCAGATCAGCAGGATCCAGGAACAAGGAGCCCCTGCTTTTCAAAGAGGCAAGATCTTGTCTTGGAGAAAAGCTGGGACTCCAGCTGAGAGTAAATTCAATGGGAGCTGGGAGCTATGAGCAGTATGTGAAAGGTAGGGCTGCCAACTCCTGCCTCCTACTGAGCTCCAAGCTCAGCAAGATTTGGGATAGTGAGGCTGCCAGTCAGGGAGATTAAATCTTGCCTTCTTGTTTGGTAGTGGGTGCACTGGCTTGAAATGCTACTCTCCCACTGATTTCAATACCAACAAGTAGGTGCCATGGAAAAACAGATGTTTTTACTTCTATTTGGGGGATGTGTGTGTGTGAATAGTCATTAGAGATGGAGATGAGATAGGGATGAGCTAGAGATGATAATCTTGCATAGTTATAGCACCTGCAGTGCATACTCTCAAGGGCTCAGGGAGAAAGCAGAAGAAATACAGAATAGAAAAGGGTAATGATGAAAGCATAAGTAAAATATAAATAACACAGTGACATTTCTGGGAATAAAAAGAGGAAGAATTCAGACCTTGGTTTTTCTGATGCAATTCATGTAAGCAGGGGCAGAAATGGCCAGTGTGCTAGCCAGTAGCCCAAAAACTGAAAGGAAAAAAAGAGGAAAGAAAAAAAAAAAGAGGAAAGAAAATAGAGTGTTTACTTTCAATATAGAGAAATATCTACTTCTTTTTCTTTATTTTTACCTCCCCAGACAGTTACAGGAAATTTTGCCAAAGTGATTCATGGTTTGAATGCAAATCAGTTGACAGATCAAGTAATTCAGAGAAGTAAGAGAATGATTCTGGATACTCTTGGAGTGGGGCTTCTGGGTACCAGCACCGAGGTCTGCCACAGAGTGGCACAGTATAGCAAGGTAAGCTGTCTGGCATTCATAGCACACCCTAAAGTTTAGCTTTAAGAAAGCAAGGGAAAACTTGGGCAATGAAAAGTTTGCCATGGTGAAATTCTTTCCTGGATGGAAAGAGAGAAATTGTGTTCTTCCCGCTGGAGACAGTGAAACTTCAGTGCTCAATTTACTTTTCACTCTGGATAGACAAAAGTCTGTGTATCAGTCTGTATGCTAAGATCCCCCTCTACAAACACAGTTAACTAAGAACCCCTTCCCTAAGAAAGCAAGGAAAAACTTGGGCAATGAAAAGAAAAGTTTGCCATGGTGAAATTCTTTCATGGATGGAAAGAGAGAAATTGTGTTCTTCCCGCTGGAGACAGTGAAACTTCAGTGCTCGATTTACTTTTCACTCTGGATAGACAAAAGTCTGTGTATCAGTCTGTATGCTAAGATCCCCCTCTACAAACACAGTTAACTAAGAACCCCTTCCTTTCTTTCTCCTATGACATCTTATTAAAAACATCAACAAAGTACGCATCACTTACCACCAGTCTTTCAAATCAAGGTAAAGTTAAAGAGATGAGGAGTTAGCAGTGGGTTACTTGCAGTCCATAAAACATAATTGTCTGAGGTGCATTAGCCATGCTTCTCCTCCAGTCTTGCTCTCCTCAAACTAGCAGAGTAATTGACCCTGAAAAGAAGTGTTCCCAGCACAGGAGTGCATCCATGAGGAGGAGTTCAGCCCACTGTTTTATCTTTCAGACCTGCCTGGGTGGACTTGTGCTCCAGAGCTCTGTGTGCCAGTTAGTCTCTTCCCACAGAGAATTTCCAAACCAGGGTAGTTTGTGCCCTTTTATTCAGTTTGCAGCACCAGGAGGCCATCTATCGTTTACTCAGGGTCTTACTAAAACACAGAGAACACAACCCTTTAATGAGACATCTTCCCCAACAAAATGATGACAGCCCCATCATCAATTAGATTGGGCTTGATGATCTCAGAGGTTTTTTCCAACCCAGCTGGTTCTGTGATTCTGTCAGTGGGTGGTGAGAAGGGGCATCAGTGGCCGGAGGTTGTGTGAAGGTACTGAGTGGCCAGGTGGGTGGTGTTGGTCTGCCCCCAGCTCCGTTTGGGTGCAATAGGACATAAGCCGACAGGAAACTGACTTCCTTTTCAGACTTTATGAAAGAACAATATTTTTCTCATAAAAGGGAGCAGTTACGTCCCCAGAGGACATGGTCTCCTCTCAGTTAGATCAGCGATACAATGCACATTTATCCTTATGTTCAGGACTTTGAATTAATTTATGTCAATTTGTTTCAGATCTACAGCTCAGATTTATCCAGTACCATCTGGGGCCACTTGGATTTCCGACTGCCTCCTCTGTATGCAGCTTTTGTGAATGGAGTGGCTGTAAGGGATGCTCTTTTATTGCTCTGAAATCATTCAAATTGATGCCATTCTTACTCTATAGAGAACAGAATGTCCCAAATCATAGCTTATTCTGAAGCCTGCTACAAAACTTTTCTAGACTATTCTCCTAATGTGCTTCAACTTCCTTCCAGTGAGACTGAACTTAAGGTATAATATATGTATAATCCAACTCAACAGCATCCCTTACATTTAACGTGGGACCTGGGGCTGTTGTCAAGTGTCAGAACTCTACAGCTTACAACCTGGCAAACTTGTAGCAAGGCTACAACCTTGCTGTAGCTGCTCAAAAACACACCCTCCAGCTCTAGCTCATTTCACTGGGATCTGAATTTCGTGCCAACTGGCAAGCACAGTTACAGAAAAACATAGATGCACGTATAGATACATGCACACTACAAGGCAACTTAATCTTCAGTTACACAGTTTCCAAAAGCCAGTGATATATTTTGGACATGCACTTTGTCATTAAAGCAATAACTGACTCCCCAGACATTTGTCTAAATTCAGATTGAGGCTGAAACTGTTTGAAATTGAAAGATGCACAAGAGGTGGGGTAGACAAATTTGGCAATTATGCAAAACTAGGAAAGGTGACGAACCAAGGAAATAGTAATATTAAGCCTATTTAAATTAGTGTGACAACAATATCAGAGCTCCAATTTAACAGCTCATTTTCAATGTAGAGAAAATTACCTTGGAAATGAGATCTGGTACCACTCAACTCCTAGCAGCCCCTACGATATTCAGATCTGGCTGTTAGCATATATATGATCAGTTTACATCTTAGTCACAGGTCAATTTAAGCGCTTACTGAAGACACCAGAAACACAGCTTACAGGGTATTGGCCACAATTTTCCTTATCCTGTACTGCAGGGCATCTTCCCAGATGGCATCAAAGGTTTTCAAGGCAGACACTGCATTTTCTTCTATCTGTTTAGAAACAGTCCAAAAAATGCATAATCACAGTATTACAGGGCAAAACCTGACTTCTGAGGAGCCTGATCACTTTCCCAGTTTGCTCTGAAGTTAAGACATGGGTGAACAGATGTGAAAGTTCAGGTTTTTGAGGTGTTTTACTATACTATATTTTTTTTTAAATATGCTGTTCCTCATGCTCTCAGTCTTTGGGGGTTCTCAAAACTTTGCAGGAGGAAGGAATGTGCCAGATAAGCAGTGCATTACAGACTCTGACTGCAATGCTGGGGACCATCTGCTGCCAGATCAGCAGCCAAATGCCATGCCAGGGACACCCAAAATCTTCCTGGACAGCTGGGCTCTGGGCATGGGAAAGAGAAGGCACCACTTAGGATACTCTCTTAAGCCAAGCAGCTCGTTCTGCATTCAGAGTGCAGCTTTCTCCTACTCCCAGCAACTCCAAGGAATCTGGTTTCTTGTGTGACAGGTCTCGTTTCAATGTGCTGAAAATTCAGGCTAAAGCTTCCTGTACATTTGCAGGCTTGTGCCTGTTGACAGTGGATGGTTGCAGCAGAGAAATAGCTCTGATGATATAAATTCAATTTAACAATATTTAACTGCTACAGTTTTATGGCGTGAGTCCTAATGGCAGCATCACTTACAGCAACAGCAAAGTAATTTCATTGTGTTTATATTTCATTATGTTTTGGGGAAAATTAAAATTCAGTGTTCATATAGTGGACCTAGAACAGCTGTTTTAATTATACCAGTCTAATTAAAGTAGCAAAAACCAAGTGCAGAAAAAAGGAATCACTGTCACACTGATTTCAGGCTGGTACAAGTTGAATTAGAATTATTCTCTTTTGAAGCAAGATCTCTGTTGCATTGCCACTTCTCAGACAGCCATGTTGGGAGTAAAAGTCTTTAAAAGACTTTTGAAATTTTTTGCCTTCTAAGGAAGATCTAGTTCTTTGGTACTTTTTTATACCAGTTACAGTAGTTTCATTTGACTGAGGCAACCTTGCAAAGTCAGTTTATTTCTAACATACCAATGCTTCTCTTTCCATTAGGTGCACTCGATGGACTTTGATGACACCTGGCATCCAGCCACACACCCATCTGGGGCTGTGCTCCCCGCAGTGATTGCACTCTCAGAGGCCTTGCCTCGGAAGAAAAAAATCTCAGGTCTTGATCTGCTCTTAGCTTTCAATGTGGGAATCGAAGTGCAAGGCAGGTTGCTGCACTTCTCCAGAGAAGCCAGGAATATCCCAAGAAGGTACATAGAAATGTTTAAAGTAGGAGGTGGAGTAGAGGTGGTTTTTAATCAGTGCTAATATACATAATTAAGTGTCAGTTAACATACAGGTGGCACAGTTATTCCTAACAGTTTGGCTGGAAATTTTGGGAAGGCTCATCTTACCCATAAATATATTTGATTCCTACCTCTTTAGCTAACAGATTTTTTTTTAAGCATTGACTAATTCACAATGAGGCAATTATCTCCCTACTTTGAATTTTAATAGATTTATAATAACATATAAATTTAAATAAATATAACTTTATATTTGACTATAAATTTGTCTTAAACTATGAGCAGCACTAAAGCAGCACTTTGCTTTCTGGGAAGGACTTACTGCAAGCGGCACTATCCCAGTTTTACTTTTCCCTGGGGAAAAGTGACAACTATTAATTCGGCCCACATGTGAATGCTGAATGTATGTTTCTTTATGGTCCAATCCATTTCCCATGGCAATGAATGAAAAGCTTTTGTAGATAGTGAATTTGGGTGAATTTTTGAAATCTGGTAATGAAGACAGTTTTGTTTTCTCAGGTTTCACCCACCGGCTGTGGTTGGTACGATGGGGAGTGCAGCAGCTTGTGCTAAACTGCTAGGCCTTGACCAGCTGGAATGTAAAAATGCCTTGGCTATTGCTGCCTCCTATGCAGGTGCCCCACTGGCTAATGCAGCAACCCAAATAAAGCCCCTCCATGTTGGGAATGCTGCCAAGCACGGACTGGAAGCAGCTTGCTTAGCTTTACAGGGCCTTCAAGGAAACAAACAGATCTTGGACATGGAGTCAGGGATGGGTGCCTTTTATACAGATTACAACCCACAGACTCTGCCAACCCTGCAGTCCTACCCATGGCTCTTGGACCAGCAAGATGTGGCCATCAAACGCTTTCCTGCTCATCTTGCAACACACTGGGTGGCAGATGCAGCATCCTGTGTTAGGAGGAAGCTTGTAGAGAGCAGTGAGAACTTGCTCCCCCTTGATAAAATTGAGAAAGTCATTCTCAAAGTCCCTGAGGTCAAGTACGTGAACAGACCCAGCCCAGCCTCAGAGCATGAAGCACGACACTCCTTCCAGTTTGTTGCGTGCTCGGCCTTGCTGGACGGCAGCATGTCAGTCCGGTCCTTTGCCAGTGAGAACATTCACCGGCCGGCCTTGTGGGAGCTCCTCTGCAAAACACAGCTGGAGCACCCTCCTGACAACACCCCCAGCTTCGACAGCCTTTACTGCGAAGTGAGTGTCACGCTCCGGGACGGCAACACGATCAGCGACCGCTGCACCACCTTCTACGGGCACTGGAGGAAACCTCTGAAAAAGGAAGACTTGGAGAAAAAGTTTCAATCCAATGCACTTGGCATCCTGCCCACAGAAGCCATGGAAGGCATTATAGAGACTGTGTATAACCTGGAAAGAGTAGAGGACGGTTCTGTATTAAGTACATTTCTATCAGGACAGTCTGCTAGAGCACTTCCAGATAAGCTGCGCTTCCTTTGAGTGTTCCAGCCCACAGCTACATGCTCTTCACAAAGCTAATGCAAAATTCAGGACAAACTCTTACTTAGTGACTCGAGCACTTTTAAATAAGACTCCTGTAACACAAGAACCATATTCAGTCCAATATTGTGCATTTTGACTAGGTAAATAATTTGGTGTTTATGTGCCCAGCTTAGCCAGGCTGAACAGAAGATCCTCTGCTGGCACAGCTGACTCCAGCTATCTTTGTACCTCTAGAGGCAGAGCACTCACTGCTTGCTCATGGCACAAAAATCTCCCTGCTCCTCTGCCAAAAATGTGTGATTCTGCTTCCAAATTCTGGAAGAGCATGAAAGCGCTGTGTCCTTGAAAATCATAATGGTTAGAAGTACAGAGAATGAAAACCTTTTCATAATTATTTCTGTAGACTTACCTCTACAACCTCCTTGAAGAGTGAACCTGTTACGTCTGAGCGTAGACATTTGTGCTAAAATAAACACAGCACATGCAGCATGTCAGCTGTCACTGTAGCCATTGCTCTTGCACTGAGGCAGCAAAGGCCTGGGCCCAGCCTGATCACACCAGTGGTGAGCACGAGGGACAGCTCCACACTCCTCATCATAAAGGCATTATTGGCCAGTTCCACCTGTTGGCTGCTCTGTGGTACAGGTCTGTTCCTGTTTCACTCCTGCCCCAGTTCCATGAGACACTGAGCAGGTGACAGCAGTGCAGGTTACTTCAGACCAGCAGAGTGTGGGCTACACTACACTGGGCAGCAGTGACAGAGACCTGTGAGCACCAGAGCACTTCTTACGAGAGACAACTCAGTGTCCACAGTGAACCCAGATAATAAAGTCTGGGAATTTTTTGTTCCTCCAGGAGTACAAAGCCTTGCCAGACTGAGCTTCTAAGAGAAGCTGCCAACCCTTTGTTCACATATATAAGATCAAAGCATGGTTTCTAATACATAGAAAATTGTCTTCCTCAGGGCACTAAACAATGTATGCAAAAAAAATTACAAAATAAATCTAATTAATTTTACTAAATAAATCTGAAGTTACTTCATTTATTAGCACAAAACTTGTGTGTTTTCCATGTGCAATGCATTCATTTGTGTTGCATCATGGTTTATAAAGTTGGTTTACCTAGGGGCTCTGCAAAAATTTCAAAAGTCCATCAGTAATACTTGCTTAAAGACTTTCAAGGGGAAAAAAGAACTCAAATAACCACATTCTTTTATTTTTCCCTTCTGTTTAGAAATCAGAATTGAATTATTCACCTATGCTGATGGTAAACAGACTCATTTACAGCTACTTCACTTCATTGCAGCTGGGTAACAGCAAATATGAATTACTGATAACCATTAATGATGTGATAAAACCCCACTGCCCATTCAGTCATTTTAAGACTGAATACATTTGGATTCATTAAAACAAACAAAAAAAAACAAAAAAAACCCAAAAAACAAAAAACAATGTGACTCCCCCATTCACCTTTAATATATGGTTTCTATTTTAAAAGAGAAATGAATAGGTTAAATTCAGCACTAACCATCTGATGTATTAAACATTAAAAAGCACCCTACCACACCAAACAAACCAGGAACTGTGAAGTTCAGCAGTTGCATTATTTTATTAATTCAATCTAAGGAAGCTAAATGTTTATGCTTAGCTACACTGATTTCCTTGGAGAAGTCTGTACACTTCTAGTCAGGCAAGCTTCAGGACTTCTTGTACCATTGTTCCAATTCCATCAAAGATTTCATGCAGAGGAGCCTTGCACATGAAAGCACAGGTAGTAACTATTTTATTGGCTTTATCCACGTGGGATTCATTTACATTTTTGCAAATGTGCTTACATCCAAGCTCTGCTATAGCAGATGCCGTTTCAGCATCAGGAAATCTGTAAATAAGAAGACTTTAATTAACACAAAGCAATGATACAGCCATAAAATTCTGCACACATAACTTGAATGAGAGAATTACAATAATATCTACGTGAGTCTTTAACTGATGATGACAAGGGAGCTAGACACTGCTACTATCAGATTTTCCTATCCCCTACAGACACATCAAGTTATCTAATACCTTTGGAAACAAGGTCTGAAATATGGAGCCACAATATGTCAGAAGGTACAATAGTTTTTAACAATCTTTCTGTAAGTTTGGAAGATACCAAGTGCAGCCATAACTGCTCTTTAAAAGCTTGAGAGAAGCCAGCTGAACTTGCAACCTTTTCCAACACCTCCATGTAAGGTGTTCCTCTGGGATCTCTATAGATATTAATTTTTTTTCCCCTTCTGATAAGGAAGGAACAGATGCAATCTGTTCTGAACAGAATCCCCCACTATGGCTGCTGATAAATTTAATTCAGAAGTTTTATTGGGAGTTGACAATTTTGAAGGAGTACTGATTTCTGCCAGGCCCCGTTCTCATCTCCCACCCCTAAAGTGGCCCTAAACCACCACCACCAGAAAAACTTTATTAAAAATCCCTGAGTTAACAGTTGGACTTGCCCATCCTAGATAACTTTTCCAACATAAACGATTCTATGGTATCATAGATCAGTGATTATCTGGTTGTAGCATCACAAGTCACCTGACCTCATGGATTGAATCTGTCTGCCCTGAGAGCTATGTGCCTGCTACTATTATTCTAGTGAAAAGTGTCATTAATTTTTCTTAAAAGTAACTAAGTTCCCCCAGGTTTACTGGTACCAAAGAAACTTTTGCACAGAAGCCTGTCCATTTCCTAACCTTAATTCCAATGAAAATCCTCACCATCCATTTCCTTCTTACCTTCCATCTATGTTTTTATCCTGACCGACCGTAACCTCGCAACCAGGAAAGACTTTGGCTGCCAGAACTGGGGATATACAGCACAAACCAATGGGCTTTTTAGCACTGTGGAAGGCCTGGAGTGTGGAGTTCACGTGCTCGTTGACAGTACAGTCCTTGCCATCTACAGCCCACGAGCACAGATTCTTTGCTACACCAAAACCACCTAAAAAAAAAAAAAAACCAAAACATAAAAGCTCAAACACTGCTAAAAGCTATTAAATTTGATACCAAACAGCTCTTTTTTACAACATAATCTTGGTATCCATGGGACTGTTAAGCAACTGTAAGCCTTAAAATGTCACTGTAACCTGTAAATAATGGGTTTACAATGTTAAAAGTTTAACTGGACACTTTTTTATACCATGTAGGTTATACATAGGCCAGAATGCTTAACTTTGTTTCAAAAAGTAACAAAGAGACAAAGAGAAAACCTCACATTCCTCTGCTAGTCACTAGAACAGCTGTACCATCAGCTGTGAACTCCTCAATATGGAAGAGGGACCAGAAGAGCACTACTAGTTAAAAACACAAGTATGGAATTCATGGGAGTAATGCAAATAGTGATTTGACCCTCTATAGTAATGAACTCTCAAGTTTTACTTTGATGCTTAAGCAATTATAGAAGAGCTTTTCTTCTTCCCTAGAACTACTTTTCAACTTAAAAAAAAAAAATAGCCATTAACACAATAAAAAAACCACTGGGGATTTTACATAAAATAGACATTATAATATATGGTATTCTAAGACAAAAAAAATCTTGTACATGGTAACATAATTCCCTATTAAAATAGTGCTGATTTGTATTTCTATAAATTAGTTTTAACAATCCTTTAGGTACATTTAATCTTCATTTAATTGTATAAGCAGATTGTATTTTACAGCTCCTTTGTCTGCTGGATTTATAACCATCAGAATAATCAAAGTAAGGTTATTCCACATGGAATGTGCAGAGCATCAACTTTTCTCCAATAAGCATAAGGAAATTTCCACAAGTACTTCAACAGACAACATCAAGAAGCTTTGCATTTTTAATGTTTCTCCTTTCCCGGTTTGCTCACTTTCAAGTGTTATCTGAAATCTCTGAGGTAAGATTTTAATTTTCCAACTAAATAGGGTTTATTTCCCTCTAACAGTTATTACAGCAATCCCCCCGAGCCTGGGTTATAACAGCATGAAATTAATGTGGAAAACATCTGTGAGCCTCTACTCGCTCCTGATCAGCCCTGACATCAACTACTGACAGTGCAGGCAGAATTGTTTCTCTGTGTTATACACACACTCCCTCTGCTGGCCTTACAACAGTGTGAAAACTTCAACATGAACACTTAGGCCCCATCATGAAGGCAGTATTTAACAGTGCTATGAATATTCTGGAAACAGATCTTCAGCAAGTCACGATTTCCTCGTGATGCTCCAGCTTCTTCTTTTCTAAAAATGGTTACAATTACCTCTGTCTGGAATGAAATTTTGTGGTCTCTAAATGAAAAATTATCCATAAACATGTTTAGTACAACTTGATCAGCAGCTGAGTGGATACATAATCAAAACAGAATGCATTCCCATATGACATGGAACATCATCTATTTGGAAACCTGCTATTCTGCCAACATCTTCAGAGGCCCTGAAATTAAGGCACTGCCATGTAACTGAGTTCTCACCCAACTTTTGTGCTCTGGTCAGGGTTTTTGTCCACACATAAGTAGTGAAGTTTTCACAACATTCAGTAAGAAGGGATGGTGAAAGGCACAACTTAATACCAAAAGAACACTCTGGCATTTTAACTTACTGAACCATGAAACAATAAATACATTGAGTTTTAAAATCACAGTTTTCTTGTGAAAGATGAGCTCAGCTGACCACAGCATGGTGCTAATAACACCAAGGTTGTGGGCTCAACCCCTTCACTTAAGATTTGGACTCAGTGATCCTTGTGGGCTTTCCAACACAGCATTTTGTGATTTTGTGATACCTACCAGGGAAAATGACAGCATCAAATTCACTAGCTTTCAGTTCAGCCAAATCCTGAATGTTGCCCCTTGCCAACCTGGCACTTTCAACTAACACATTTCTCTTCTCTTCTGCTGGACTTCCTTTTAGGTGATTGACTACATCCCTTTGCTCAATATTAGGGGCAAATATCTTCACCTAAGAAGAGAGATGAAGCAATTTTGTGAATGTAAACAAAACTCACACATATTTGTCACAATAAAGATCATTTAATGAAAACAGGTTTTGTCCCTGAAGCCTCTTACCTAAGTTAAGCAAATTCCACAGGATGAATATAGCATATTAAATACCTAAAGCAACATATGGTATATCAAAATGAGTAAATACAGGCATTCTTCCCATCCTTTTCCTGCAGCACTTTGACAGGAGAGTATTCTTATGCCAACATCAAGCTTACTGATTTTGCCAGGGCAGATAAGGTCAAGGACGCACAGGACACCACAATTTACACCAGCAGCCCAACTGGACATACAGCTGACTTTGAAGAAAGGTTGCTCTTAACTGTTATGGGACTGAAATTCAAAAAAGTTTGAGATAAAAATGTTATAGATGCAAATTTTACAAGCATTTCTAGAGCAAACATTAGAGTTACCACCTGTCCTAAAATATCAGCAGCAGAAAGGAAGACCAAAACAGGAGAACCAATTTTGGCTAGACACAAAAGGAGGACACTGCATCAGAATATAAAGCTCTGTGACAGATGTACCATAAGGGACTGTTTTCCTGTGTCTGTTTTGAAGGTTACTTTGCAAAGTTCTCAGAGATGACAATTTTGTGCTAAATATGAGGGTCCTGTTGTTACCATCAGACACCTGAGTGCAGCTGCACAGAGACAGTGACCAGCTTCTGCCATCTGAAGCCATAGATAGGACCAAAGCACACCACTACGTCCTGGCCCAGGCTTCTCTGACAAGTCCCAGCTTACCAAAGAGAGCCCAGAAACAGTGAGCAGAAAACAAGCAGGTAATCCCTAGTGAGGATTTACCTGCAAAAGTAATCAGAAGGAAGATACAGAATTTTAACCCATCCTCAGCTCCCTGTCGCCAGAGGAGAGGAGACAGGTCTCCAGCTTCTCCTTGCTCCTGGCTTCACAGGATCACACAATTGTAAGGGCTGGAAGGGTCTTCTGGAGATCATCCAGTCCAACCCACTGACCAGGCAGGATTACCTAGAACAG